CTTTAGAATTTAAGGAATAACCTAGAAAAATTCCTTCATCACTTTTAGCATCAAATTTGCCAAGGTTTTCTTTACCGTTGTTTAAAACAAAACATTTACATCCAAAAGGATGAAAATAACTAATGTTAGGCTTTTTATTTTTGAAAATTTCATATGGAGTTTTCTTTAAAATTGGCCTAATCATTACTCGATTTATAACATAACAAGCGGTATTTGTGGCTTCCGCCCAAAAATATTTTGGCAAATTATTTTCACAAAGCATGGTTCTAGCCATTTCTTCTAAAGTTTGATTTTTCCTCTCAACAACTCCATTTTGTTGAGGGGTTCTAGGTGCTGAAAAATTATGACTAATACCATTAGAATTACAAAATTCAATAAATCCAAGATTTTCAAATTCAGTGCCATGATCACTCCTAACACTAGTTATAGAGTAACCTTTTTCATTTTGGATTATTTTTGAAAATGTGATGAACTGTTCTAATGCTTCATCTTTAGTACTTAAAAATAGAACCCAAGTATATCTAGAATAGTCATCTACCAAGACAAATGCATATTGTTTTCCACCCAAGCTAGTAGTCCTAGTTGGCCCAAAAAGATCTACATGGATCAATTGTAATACTCTACTAGTTGATACGTCATTAATGGATTTAAAAGAAACACGCTTTTGTTTTCTTTTAGCACAAGCATCACAAATTTTATCATTATCAAATTTAAGCTTAGGCAACCCTCGAACTAAATCACCTTGAATTAGCCGTTGCAAAACACTCATACTAGCATGTCCTAGTCTCCTATGCCATAACCAACTATCATGTTCATCCTTAGAAACTAGGCATAAATTAGTCATATCAAAAGAATCTAAATGCACCATGTAAATGTTCCCTATTCTATGACCAACAAGCATAATCCGATTAGATGCAATGTCAATGACTTTACAACCATTAATTTCAAATAAGACATTGAATCCTTTATCGCATAATTGACTAATACTCAATAGATTATGCTTTAATCCATTCACATATAAAACATTTTTAATTTGTATGGAAGAGGTATTACCTATTGTACCAATACCTTCAATGTGACCTTTTGAATTGTCTCCAAAAGTCACTTCTCCTCCATTTTTGACGTTAAGCTCAATGAACCGGCTTTTGTCTCCGGTCATGTGTCTTGAGCATCCACTATCAAGGTACCATGAATTTGAATTTGTTTCTCGTGCCTTGTAGCAATGCTCCTTTCCCTACAAACATAGATTAATTTTTTATTTTTGGTACCCAAATTCTTTTGGGTCCATATTCATTAGTTTCCAAAATCCTAGTCCCCTTAGGTATCCATTTGTGTAGGATATTTTTATCTTTAGTAGTAATGTGTTCTTTAGGAACCCACATACTTCTAACGATTTTTCCATTAGAGGTTCTTTGGGGACCTCTATGATTGTAGTTTCTAAAACTTTTTCTAACAAAGTTGGATTTTTAATTTCCACCTTTTTCAAAATGTTTTGTTCCAACTTTATCAAAAGAAGTTTTAAGATCATCAATTTTCTTTTGAAGATCATCTTTGATCTTTGAAAGTAAATTTTGCAAATCTAAATTTTTCTTTTCAAACTCTTCTAGTTTGATTTGCAAATCTTTGATTTTACTTTCAAGATCGTTGTTGGTTTTGGATATGAGTTTGTTTTCATTTTTCAATTTTGAAACATCGTTTTTATATTTTAAAAATAATTTCTCATAATCCGAAGCCAACCCATTATATTCCTCTAATAACTTATCATAGGATAAATCATCAAAATCGGATGAGTTAGAGGTTACCTTAGAATCTTCCCCAAATACCATCAAGCACAAGTTAGCTACTTCTTGTTCCTCTTCATCAAAACTTTCTTTATCGCTCCATATAGCCACATGAGCCTTGTGCTTATTCTTTGATTGGCCCTTTTTCTTCAATTATGGGCAATCATATTTAACATGCCCTGGCTTTTTGCGTTCGTAGCAAATTATTGGGTCCTTCTCTTTCGGTTCATTTTTGAGGCCTTCATTTCGTTTGAATTTTCTTCCTCGATAAGGTCTCATCATTTTTCTGAACCGTTTGGAAAACAATGCCATTTCCTCGTCATCGTCATCGTTATTCGAATCACTCTCATCTTTTGTGGATTTGAGAGCAACTCCAATGTTTTTCTTCTTCTCCTTCTCCTTTGGTGTCTCGTCAATCTTGTCGAGGTCCACCTCATCTTCAAGCATCATTTCATGAGTGAGGAGTGACCCAATTAGCTCTTCAAGAGTTAAGGACGTTAAGTCCTTAGACTCGATGATTGTCGTCTTCTTTGATTGCCACGATTTTGAGAGGGAGTAGACTAACTTCCTCACAAGCTTTTCATTTGAAATGATCTCTCCATATGATTTTAGACCATTGACAATCGTTGAAAATCTATCCGTCATAGCTTTGATATCTTCATTTGGTTTCATCCTGAAATTTTCATAGCTATGCGTTAGAATACTAATTTTAGATTTCTTTACCTCATCGGTACCTTCATGAGTGACTTAAAGTTTGTCCCATATTTCTTTGGCAGTTGTACACGTTGAAACTCTTCCGTATTCATCTGGTCCAAGAGCACAAAAAATGATATGGATGGCTTTGGAGTTGAGCTGGAACATTCTTGTCTCTCCTTCACTCCACAACCTTGGATGAGTGAGAGGTTTGATGTATCATTCTTCTACAGCATTCCATGCTCCCATGTCACTTGCTTGAATGAAGTACATCATTCTATTCTTCCAATATGCATAGTTAGCTCCATTGAAGAAAGGAGGCTTGTTGACGGGCATCGAGTCGAGACCGGAGTCGAAGTTTGAAGCGGAGGCCATTGATGACTTTGATTATCGATATAACTCTTCCCGAATCGACTCAAGAGGCAATTAAACCTTCAAATGAGTTAGGCTCTGATACCAATTGTTAAGTTAATCGATTGACGGATTTGGCCAAGAGGGGAGTGAATTGGCAATTAAAAATTTGATGGAAGCTTTTGCAGAAAATTGAAAGTAATTGCACAGCGAATTTAGAGTGGTTCGACTTTCTCAATCAAAGTCTAAGTCCACTACCTTAGCTATCCACACTAAGGATTTTCCAACAAATTCACTAATTTGTTCTTTCTTTTGAGGCCAAAGAGATAACCTTACAACACCCTCAAGAATATACCCCAATTCTTGAGAACACTCTTTCCCAAAGAGAAGATTACAAATTTGCAAACTTACAAGGAAAACCTCAGAAGGTAATATGTTTGCACAATTCTAGAACAAGAAAAGAACACTCAAAGATAATTACAAATGAGCACAAATGGTGTTCTTGAAAGCAAAATGAATATTGAAAGGAAAATTGGCTTGATTTGCACAAACTTGGTGTTTGATGCTTTCTCTCTTGTTTCTCTATGATTTCTTGTTGATCAAGGGCTTCAGAACTTGTTTAAATACACCTTGAATCATTTATGAACGTTGGGGATGATTAGTGAAGATCATATAGCCGTTTTAGTGTGAAAACAATTAATAAAACAGCTTGGAGCGTGGGGGATCGGTTCCCCCTCATAGGGAATCGGTTCCCTAAGTGTAAAATTCGAATATTTCGACCGTTGATCAGGGGGAATCGGTACCCCCTATGGAGGAATCGGTTCCCTCCGAGCATTTTGGAAATCTCGGAGCCAAACCATTCAGGGGGGAATCGGTACCCCCTTGGGGGGGAATCGGTTCCCTCTGAGCAATCTGTAATTTTTGGCTTTGAAATGGTTCGAAATACTTTGAAAGATTATTTTGAAATTGTTTTAAGATTAAAACTTAATTTTACACTTAAGTAAGGATTAAAAATGATTTTTGAAATATTTGGAGTAATGTTTTGATATTCGAATAATTATATCGAATATACTTAGAAAATCATTTGGAAAATCTTAAAATTCATTTAATTTAATTTATTATATCGAAATATCAAAATGTTTTCAACAGTTTATTTTATACCTCACTAAGTCTGTGACTTAGTGTGTAAGTGATTTACACGTAGGTACCAAGAATTCAGAAGAGCATAAATAGGGGTGACAAGAACGGCATCTTTGCTAGAAGATCATATCAGAAGTAACTGAGAAAGTATGTATTTTAATTGTGTATATTGGGTTGGCATGTAAGAAAAGTGTTAGTTACGAATGCTCTGATCAATTTTGTCTTGTTTTGGTTAACCTATGTAAAGTAACAATGTTATTTTAATGAAAGTTTTAAATTTCCTTGATTTTCGTCAAGAGTCAAAGTTTGAAAAGTCAATGTGACACCTCATACTCGTATCCGGGTCGGGTACGAGTTGGGGGTATTATATTTAATGGTATCAGAGCTATGGTTTAGTCGTTTCTCGATATAAACCGAAGTCTAGAGAGTCTTATAATGTATACATACCAACAAAATAGTGAAAACTTCTGATATGATAAAATAGTAAGTATGTTGTTTTGCTAATAGGATGATATGAATATGTTTTTATAGATGTCCGGACATGGTAGCTCTAGAAGTAAAGCGGGAGACGATAGGCCCGCTAAAAGCAGTAATTCACATGCCCTGGCCAGGCAGAGTGAAGATCAGGCACCCTCTGGAGTGCTTGTGAGTGATCAAGATGTGTTCTTCAAAACACTAGACATTGTCTTGGCGCGTTTCCAACCTTCTGCTACTTCAACTCCGAGAATGAATATTGCAAAGGAGTTGAAGGGTTTATGAGCACCAGATTTTAGAGGTGAAGCCAAAGAAGGTCATGTTGCGGATCTTTGGCTTAATGATGTGAAAATTATGCTTGAAGGACTTCATTGTTCTCATGCTGACAAGCTGGATGGAGTAGTCTCTTTGCTCCGAGGGCAAGCAAGGATTTGGTGGACCAATGTTGCATTGAGAATGATCAAGTAACTTGGTCATTGTTTTTAGAAGAGTTCAAGCATAAATATATTGGAGTTCAATTTATCCGAAAGATGAAGCAAGAGTTCATGAACTTGAAGCAATAGAACCGTACAGTGTATGAGTACGAATATGAATTCAACAAGTTAAGCTGCTTCATTGCTGAGTTAATTCCTACAGAGAATGATACTTGCAAGTGGTTTGTTGAGGGATTGCGTCCTCGTTTGAAAGAGATGCTTATTGTGTTGAACTTATCTTCATTTCAAGAAGTGGTGAATCATGCTAAAGCTCTGGAAAGAGCTCAGAATAAGAGGTTCAGAGATTCCCGAGCTCAGATATCGAAAAGATCGAGTGCATCATCGAGTGTTGCACTATCAAAAAGGGGCAAAAATGTTGATTCTTGACCCCAAGCGAGATCAGAGTTTGTGGTATCCTCCGTGAGGAGATCAAATACGATGAGGGGACGAAAAACACGATCAGTGGGATTTGGAGATAGGAGATCTAATCTGAGTCAAGTTAAACCATGTCCATATTGTGGAAAGAATCACTCGGGGATTTGCAATATGATTTTTGGAGTCTGCTTTAAATATGGGGATAACGAGCATTTTGTTCGGGATTGTCCCATGTTAGCTGATGAATCTACTCAGTCAGAGAGGTCTTCCTTGACTACCCAGAGAGAAAGAGGTAGAGGTAGAGGTAGAGGAAGAAGTCAATCAGAGTCATCGGCTCCACAAGAGATACGTTCTACAGCTCGTGTGTATAATCTTAAGACTACGAGGATCGAGATGACCCAGAGATAATAGTAGGTATTTTTCTATCGTATGACAAGAATGTGTTTGTACTGATTGATTCAGGGTCTACTTATTCTTATATTTGCATTAAGTTAGTGAGAGAATTGAATATTCCGTTAGAAGCTACTAGTAGTGAGGTGATAGTGACTAATCCATTAGGGCATAGTGCTCGAGTCAATATGATGTGTCAAAGGTGTCCTATACGGATTCAGGGAATTGAATTCCCTACTAATCTGATGGAATTACCTTTTAACGAATTCGAGGTGATACTGGGAACAGACTGGTTATATCGTTACTACGCTAATGTTGATTGTAGACTGAAAAGACTAATGTTGAGAAGTCAAGAAGGTATAGAAGTCATTGTATTTAGTGAAGGATGAAACCCATTGGCTAATATAATATCAGTGATTTCGGTAAAGAAGTTATTGCTATAAGGATGTCACGGATTTATTGCTAGTGTACTGGATGTTAGAGCTAAAGAGAAGGGGATTGATGAAATTCCTATAGTCAGAGAGTTTTCCAACGTTTTCCCTGCAGAATTACCAGGTTTGCCTCAAGATAGAGAGGTGGAATTTCAGATTGAAGTAATGCCAAGAACTGCATCTATTGCCATGTCACCATACAGAATGGCCCCAAAAGAGTTACAAGAATTAAAGATCCAATTACAAGAATTACTAGATAAAGGGTTTATCAGACCGAGTGTCTCACCATGGGGAGCTCCAGTTTTGTTTGTCAAAAAGAAGAATGGATCCATGCGACTTTGCATTGATTATAGACAACTCAATAAAGTGACTATCAAGAACAAGTATCTCCTTCCTCGAATTGATGATTTGTTTGATCAGTTAAAAGGTGCTCAGTGTTCTCGAAGATTGATTTACGTTATGATTACCATAAATTAAAGATTAAAGATAAAGATATTCCAAAGACGACATTCAGAACGAGATATGGGCACTATGAGTTTATTGTTATGCCATTTGGAGTTACGAATACACCGACTGCTTTCATGGATCTAATGAATAGAATATTTCAACCCTATTTGGATCAATTCATAGTGGTGTTCATCGATGAAATTTTAGTGTATTCAAAGTCAGAAGAAGAGTATAGTTCACATTTAAAGACTGTTCTATATATTTTGATAGAAATAAGCTTAATGCTAAACTCTCCAAATGTGAATTCTGGTTGAAGGAAGTGACATTCCTTGGACATGTGATTTTGCAGAAGGAATTCGAGTGGATCCCCAAAAGATTAAAGCCATTTTAGAGTGGGAAGTTCCAAAGAATGTGTTAGAAGTCCGGAGTTTTCTGGGGTTAGCTGGCTATTACCGAAGGTTCGTTAAAAACTTTTCCATAATAGCATTACCCCTAACTAAATTATTGAGGAATGAGATAAAATTTGTGTGGAATCCAGAGTGCCAAGTGAGTTTTGAAAGCTAAAAAAGATTTTGACAGAAGCTCCAGTGTTGGTACAACCCGAGTCTGGCAAGAACTTTATAGTGTATAGTGTTGCGACTCATAATGGCTTAGGATGCGTGTTAATGGCTTATGCATCGAGACAATTAAAACCGCACGAAAAGAACTATCCAACGCACGATCTGGAGATGGCTGCAGTAGTGTTCGCTCTTAAGATCTGGCGTCATTACTTGTATGGGAAAATGTTATTTATATACAAATCAAAAGAGTTTAAAGTATTTGATGACTCAAAAAGAATTAAATTTAAGACAAAAAGATCGGTGGAATTCTTAAAGGATTACAATTTAGTAATCGATTTCCATCCGGGAAAAGCAAATGTGGTAGCAGATGCTTTAAGTTGAAATACATTTACAACCTTACGATTTTTGGATACCAGACTATCGTTAAACAGAGACGGTGCAATATGTGCATAGTTAACTCTCAAGCCATCATGGCTAGATCGAATTAATGAATTACAAGCTAGAGATGAAAAGTGTTCAAAGAAGCTACAACAAATAAGGAATGGAGAGGTTACGGATTATGAATTGAAGACTGATGGGAACCTATATTATCAAGGGAGGCTAGTTATTCCTGATAATGTTGAATTGAAGAAAGACTTGTTAACAGAAGCTTACTGTAGCCCATTGACCATGCATCCTAGAGGAAACAAAATGTATTTGGATCTCAAGAGTCGATATTTATGCCCTGGAATGAAGAGGGACATTTGAATTTGTATCTAAGTGTTTGACTTGTCAGCAAGTCAAAGTTGCGCATCAGGTTCCGTCAGGATTATTGCAACCAATTTTGATTCCTCAGTAGAAATGAGAGAATGTAACAATGGATTTTGTAACGGGGTTACCTTTAACTCCGAACAAAAGAGATTCAATCTGGGTGATCGTAGATAGATTGACTAAGTCGGCTCTTTTTATTCCAGTACGAACTGATTTCTCCATGGATAAATACGTTGAGTTATATATAAGGGAGATCATTAGATTGCATAGATTGCTGTTTCCATAGTTTCTAATCGGGACCCTCGATTTACTTCGAGATTCTGGAAGACCTTGCATGGAACATTAGGCACTCGACTGAATTTCAGTACAACATTCCATCCTCAAACATATGGACAATCTAAGTGAACTATCCAAATTCTTGAGGATATGCTGAGAGCATGCGTTATAGAATTCAAAGGATCGTGGGAAAGATACTTACCACTTGATGAGTTCGCTTATAACAATAGTTATCAATCAAGCATCAAAATGGCACCCTATGAGGCTCTTTATGGAAGGAGATGTCGTACGCCCCTAAATTGGTTCGAGCTTAAAGATAAAAAAGTTCTTGGTCCTGAGTTGATCCAGAAAGTTGAAGAAAAGGTCCAAATAATTCAAAGTAATCTCAAAGCAGCAGCTGATAGACAAAAATCGTATGTAGACCTAAAAAGAAAAGGAATTGAGTTTCAAGTCGAAGATAAAGTGTTTTTAAAAGTGTCTTCATAGAAGAAGGTTTTGAGGTTTAGTCAAAGAGAAAAATTGAGTCCTCGGTTCATTGGACCTTACGAGATCGTAAAGAGAGTTGGACCAGTGGCATATCAACTAGCGCTACCACCTGAAATGGAGAAAATCCATGATGTCTTTCATGTCTCAATGCTTCGGAAATATCGATCTGATCCCTCCCACATTGTGACTCCAAAAGAGATCGAGATTCAACTGGATTTGACGTATGAGGAAGAATCAGTTCAAATCTTAGCTCATGAGATTAAACAACTAAGGAACAAGACTATTCCATTAGTTAAAGTCTTGTGGAGGAATCACAAGATAGAGGAAGCAACGTGGGAACGTGAAGAAGACATGAGGAATCAATACCCCCATCTCTTTGCATAATGAAAATTCGAGGATGAATTTTCTTAAGGGGAGATTTGTAACATCCTCAATACCGGGTTAGTGACTAAATTATAAAGTTATGGAATTTGGCACTTAAAGTAGAATAATTGGATAATTTAAAGACTTATCTGAAAAATATGGTGTATGATCAAATTGAAAAGAATGAGGAATAGAAGGATAGAATGGTCATTTGCAAGGAAAATAATTAAATTTGGTTATAGATTATATTAACCCACGTGGAGTGAAGAGGGAAATACACAAGTTTCCAGAGTTCTCCTCTTTTTCATCTTCCTTCCTACGTGATAACCAAGCCAAAGATAAGAATCCTTATTAGTTGCTTATTAGTTGAAATTAAGTTTTGATTTTGATCATTAGACGATAATTAAGCTTAAGGAAAGCTTAATTTATCTTAAAATAACAAGATGAAAGGAGTAGGAAGAATTAAAGGTTAGGAGTTCTTGAATGGAATTTTGAAATAAAGTTCATAATGAGAATTGGAAGTTGAATTTGACTTGTCACCAACTAGTTTAAGGAATATGAAGTGTTAGAATTAGATTTAGAACATGTTGGAATTTGAGTGAGATTCTTGAATTCTATGTGGAAGTTGGATTTTTAAGTTTAAGAGGTATTGAATGAGTATAAATTAGTTTAAGTAGGTGTATGTAAGTTAGAGATATTAAAGGTGAAATATGAAGTGTTGAGCTAAAAAGGAAGCAAATTTCGTGCTCAAAATGTAATTTCTGGGCAGAGGGTATCGGTACCCTATGAAGGTGTATCGATACCCCCTTGAACGAAAAATAACAGAATGCAATAAGGGTATTGATACCCTATATGGGGTATTGATACCCCCCTTAAGATGAAATTTTCAGATTGTTGTAGGGGTACCGATACCCTAATGGAAATTACCTTTCCTTAAGCTTAAGAATTGGAAGATTAGAGTATACAATAGGATTACTAATATGTATAAATGTATAATTATGTAGATAGTGGACGTAATCTTGTTTCGGAATAATCGAAGGATTAGGATCGAGTCAATTCAAGCAAGACTAAGGTGAGTTCATATCCTAGATAGAATTGTATTGAGATAAGACTTGCGATAAGTCTATCTCTTATAATTGAATTTATGATTCCATATTCATGCACATGCATACATATATATGTGTTAATATTATAGTGATTCCATGCATAATTCATTCATGATTTAACATGATATTATATGAATGAATGTCATTATCAGAGAATCCTTCCAGGTATATGAAATAATGGAAATGATCATATAAAGTGACTTATGTGTTTACATGGACAGTGATGAAAGAGATATGAAATAAGAAATGTATTGGTAATTAAGCCCATTTTATTTAATATGAGAGCTGTAGGTATAATTGGCATGCCAAGAGTCTAGGGATTATCAGTGGTCCTTCATGACATAGTGGTCATTCGAGACAAATATTCAGTGCCCCTAGTGAGATTTTATTCAAACTGTGGTGACATCATTGTGCACAACCTCAGTGTACTCGCATACCTTCTGTTATCAATAATGTACATGGACATTCAAAGATAAATTAAAGGAAAACTCTTATAAAACATAATTGTTCATTCATGCATATCATACTTATATGTCATAGTGTGATATCTACAGGTGCATTGCAATGTCTTAGTGGATTAATAGTAGTGTGTATTCATGATATTATTGTTGTATGTTTATTTTATACCTCACTAAGTCTGTGACTTAGCGTGTAAGTGATTTACACGTAGGTACCAAGAATTCAGAAGAGCATAAATAGGGGTGACAAGAACGACATCATTGCTAGAAGATCAGATCAGAAGTAACTAAGAAAGTATGTATTTTGATTGTGTATAGTGGGTTGGCATGTAAGAAAAGTGTTAGTTACGAATGTTTTGGTCGATTTTGTCTTGTTTTGGTTAACCTATGTAAAGTAACAATGTTATTTTAATGAAAGTTTTAAATTTCCTTGATTTTCGTCAAGAGTCAAAGTTTGAAAAGTCAATGTGACACCTCAGACTCATATCCGGGCCGGGTACGGGTTGGGGGTGTTATAGTTACGCTGGAAATGAGAAGAGAGAAGCGAAAAAGAAAATTTGAGATCAAAAAAGAAATTTGGGGTTAAAATGAAATTTAGGAATGTGTTGTAGGTTTTAAAAGTTGGGGGACATAAATGCAAGCGCCTGAAAAGTTCAATGACCATATTGCAAATGTACTAACAATAGTTTAAGGTCAAATGGTCGGGGATCATATTGCAAACAAACTAAATGTTGGAGGACTATTTTGCAAACGAACTAAATATTGAGGATTCTATACTTTACCCTTTATTTTATAATTGCTAGCTTAGGAGAAGAGAAAGATACGTGGGTTTTTTTAATTTTTTATATAAAAATATTTTAAAATAATTTAGTGATTATTTTTAAATTTTTATTAATTAATTTGCTTTAGATGGTTAGTTATGTAGATAGAAGAATATTTAAATTTTTAGTGTATTTTTAAAAGGTTTAATATAAAAATAAGTATATAAATTATACTTACAATTTATTTTTAGTGTCTAATTTTTTTTTTTGTTAAAAATAGGTCTCTAATATTTTTCCGTTACACTTTTAGGTTTTTATTGTTAAAAATCGTTAAATGACACGTGCTACATTTAGATTTTTTTAATTTTTTAAAATAATATTTTAGTGTAACGGAAAAACATTAAATATCTAATTTTAATAAAAATTCTTTAGATATTAAAAACTAATTTTGGGTATAATTTAGACACTTATACATCTATTTTTAATAAAAATTCTTTAAAAATAAAAAAACAAAATTGGATATAATTTATACATTTATTTTTGTATGAAGCCCAAGTATATATTGATAGATAAAGAAGAAGTAACTGAATGAATGAGAACCTTTCCTGATCATATTGTAATCGATCTCTTCCTGGTAAACATCCTCTCTCTTTACATTTCCTTTTTTTTTCCTTTCTATTTTTGCCTTTTGGTTTGATGGATAGTTTTAATTTCTTATTTATTTTGTGGGTTTTTTTTTTCTTTTTATGTGAAGCGATGAATTGTTTTGACGTTGGGTTTTGAATTTGTATGAACTGTTGGGCAAACGGTTCCTTTTAACTTTGATTCCTATTATCTGCATTGTCAAATTTGTTTGATAATATACATATATACATATTGCCTAAGTCAGTGTAAGGGTTCTAGCACCTAGAGTGCGCTCTTGACCACATTTCCGGTTAAACTGAAACACAATTTTCGATTATACGCATAAGAGTTTGATACCACTTTCTTGTTTTCAGTTTTAATGCCAAGTGCTGGATCTTGAAACTCTAGTCTGGTAGAACAAAATCAGGAAGAATTTTGAAGAAACTGATGTTAAATTTTAAAGTTTTGAGGATTCAATTATTAAAGTTGGCTGTGTTGAAACTCTAGCAACCTTGTTTCCTCCCAACGTGTGGGGAAACCAAAATAAATTATTATGATGATGGCAGTTTCAATGAGTTAAGCATTAGTCATGTTGGATTTTCAGCTCAGTGCCCACTGAGCAAATCAATCTTTGTGGTGGGGGCAAAGAATAGGAGTTTCTCTTCACCATTTCAACTCGTAGTGTTTTGCTTTTTTGATAAAATTTGCTCACTGAAAAAGGCAACAAGAGAAGTTGGATTTTCTGTTGTTTCTTGCTGTATTTGACCAAAACCATACTTTCTTATGCATGGTTATATTTCTAGCAGATAAGTCTTTGTTTCATAAATTAGTTTTGTCTGAACACATTTCCCGACAGTTTAAGTGTCGTTGAACATATATATTGGAGAATAGAAGTTCTTGTGATTTTGGTTCAATATCTGGGTGATCTAGATTTGCTTGCTGCTTACTGCTTACACATTTTGATGATAAAGCAACATACTAATGGTTGAACGTAAGTTAGAAAGGCCTAATAAACCTTTTGTATTTGTTTCACTTTTGATGCTTCGATGGGTAGCACACATTGTTCTTAGCACACATTGTTCTCTCGAATTACTTATGTGTGAAGTTTTGCTACCGCTGCCACTTTTCACTAAAGTTTCTATGTTATGAATCTTATGAATATTTTTTTTCCTTTTCATGTTCCATTGCACATTGTTGATTTTACGGTATTTTTTGTTTTCTTTAATTATTTTCCGTCCCCTTTTTTCTCATTCGAATTTTTACCATTTCACATGCTTTTATGTTCTTTCTGTGTCTGACTAGCTTATTTTCAGGTTTACAAACCCAGCTTATCTCTGTAAACTTGTACATTATATTGTTTGAACTTCTGTTTGGTTCTAACGGCATTCATGTTGTAAGACATATTTTCATGATTTAGCAGAGAACACCGAGAGCTGGAAAAATAAATGAGAGAGCTTTCAAGTTGTTTACTACTGCTGGCAAGGACGAGGTATTTTCTCTCATCCAGGCACTAAACATTCGAGTCACAGGTACCCCTGTATTTCCTACCAGTAAGTCATTTTGTCGGTTTCAAATATTTTGTTTCTTTTCCAATGAGCTGATTTCTACAATGAATATTCGTTCCCTCCGTAGGATGTTCTTAGAAATTCTGAGTTTTAATCTGAGAAACACACGGTGATTTGGACTAAAGAGTTGCAGCCAGTTGCTTTTAAGAGGCCCAACACTTCGGAATTGGAAAGTTGTTTGTACTTGGCAAGATGTCTCTAGCTATTAAGGATGATGAGATTAACATTGTACTGGGAGCAGTCCGTTCGGATCTGACATCATTCATGAATGAATGGAAACCAATGTTCTCTTGATTTCATCTTATAATTGTCAAAGACCCTGACCTGAAAGAGGAACTCAAAATACCTGAAGGATTTAACCTTGACGTCTACAAAAAGCCTGACATAGATAGAGTGGTAGGTTCGTCTACTTCGGTTCTCTTCTCTGGCTATGCATGCAGGTATTTTGGATATCTTGTTTCTCGGAAAAAGTACATTATCTCCATGGACGATGACTGTCTCCCAGCTCGGGACCCTAAAGGTTTTGTTGTGGATGCTGTTGCCCACCACATTACCAACCTTACAGCCCCAGCCACACCATTCTTTTTTAATACTCTGTATGACTGAAGGAGCCGATTTTGTTCGAGGCTACCCTTTCAGTCTTCGGAGTGGGGTGAAATGTGCTTTGTCGTGTGGGTTATGGCTTAACCTGGCTGATCATGATGCTCCTACTCAAGCCCTCAAGGCAAAGCAAAAGAATTCTCGATATGTTGATGCAGTTATGACCAGGGTTTCAAATCGCGGTCGCGGTCGCGTTTTCGGTTATTTCGGATTTACCGTGATTGCGGCCGTCGCGGGCGCTATTGCGGCCGTCGCGGACGCTATTGCGGCCGTCGCGGGTAACTCGGACAGCGGTGAAACCTCTATATCGCGGTCGCGGACCGTTTTTTAAAACCCTGGTTATGACTGTCCCAGCTGGGTCCCTGGTGTCCATTAGTGGAATCAACATCGCTTTTGATCGGGAGGTTGTGGGACCTGCCTTGGTTCCGGCTTTGAAGTTGGGTGGGGAAGGTAAGTTTAGATGGGAAACAATGGAAGATATCTGGAGTGGTTTGTGCATTAAGGTTGTATGCGATCACCTAGGGCTCGGTGTGAAAACTGGATTGCCGTACATGTGGAGAACTGATAGGGGCGATCCTATAGCAAGCTTGAAGAAAGAGTGGGAAGGTGTGAAGCTAATGGAGGAACTTGTCCCATTCTTTCAGTCGGTAAGGTTGCCAAGGGAAGCTACAACGGTGAAGGACTGTGTAGTTGAGGTGGCAAATGCTGCTAAAGAGCGACTAGGATCGACAGACCCCGTGTTTGCTCGTGCTGCTAAAGCAATGCTGAACTGGGTTAATCTCTGGAAATCGGTTGGATCTATCTAAAGCAATGCTGGACCTTCCATGATTTCAGTGTTTTAACATATATATATATTATGATGGTTGATAGATGTGAACCAAGGGGATGAATAAAGCATGTTGAGGCTCATTGATGCTGCAGATATGGCTTTTGCTTGGTCTCAGTTTTAGTTATGGCTCTAGAGACGCTGTAACAAGTGGTTCGAACCATGGTTGTCAGATCAGGCTGGTCGGTCGAACCGGTTTAACCAGGAACCAAAGGCTTGTCTGGTCACATTGGTTTGACTTTCGGTCTGATTTTCTCAGCATTGGTCAATTCAAACAACTCTTTATATCATCTTATAAAACTCGGCATTTGGGTTATTATCTTGAGTGAAAAGTCATGAATTAGTTTTGGTTAATTATCTTTCATTACTAATAATAATTGTTCTTTAGGAGTTTCTATGCAACGGAAAAAAGCATTTCTTATTCAGCAGAGCACAAATGTTGGATGTTAGGTATCTGGTTATGGTTCGAATATGGATTATGGAAATTCTCCCCCCCCCCCAAATCATTTGTATCCGGTTTTAAGTATTGTAGAGGCCTAATATAGAAACGATACTCCCTATCTAATTTACTCTATTTCCAGACGTCATAATTAGAATTTCTGGTTTTTGTTTTACAAAATCTAATGTCTTGTACTATTAGACCATTGGTTGTTAGAACTGTAGAATTTTTAATGAATTTTTTAACTTCATTCTCATTAAATTATCGGTATTCTAGCTATGCTCTATTTTTTTGTTCCCAATGAAAGGAACGTAACTCTCTCTGAAATTTTGTATTTGAAAAAGCTACGTCTACAGAATATTTTTCATAAATGACTAAAAGATATTATAAACAAATTTTGGATTCAAAAAAATAATAATATTTTTGTTTTTAAAATAAATCGTAATTTTTTAAAATGTAATTTGGTTTGCTAGATTATTTCTATCAAATTAAAAAGAAATTTGATTCAATTATTTTATTTTTATTAATAATATTGATTCGATTGTTTCAATTTTTAATAATTTAATAATTTAATTTAATTATTAATATATAAAAATCAGACATATTAAGATATATTAAATACACGCCTTCAATTTAAGAGAAAAATTATATATATATATTTTGAAGGCTTATATATATTTAAAGTATATTATCTTTTTTATTTAAGTATCTAAGTATTTTTGGTCGAAAATAAGTACTTAAATTTATCTTTTTGTTCAAAATAAGTTCCTAAAGTATTCAATTTTTTCATCTGAGTACTTAAAGTATTATTTAATTAATGTCACATGTCAACTTTTTCAGAACTTAAATGAAAAAAATTGAATAGTTTAGGTATCTATTTTGACATAAAAAACTTTAGGTACCTATTTTTAGGGGTGAGCATTCGATCGAGTCGAATCAAAAAATTTCGAGTTATTCGAGTTTACGAGTCGTATATTACAACTCGAACTTAACTTGAAATTTTTTCAAATTGAGTCAAGTTTAAGAAATCTGAGTCGAGTTAGTCGAGTTTCTATACTAATTTTATTATAATTATTTATAGTATTACAATTTTTTGACTTTATCTAACCATTATATATATATTCTTTCATATTATAATGTTATTTAATATATCAAATACAATCTAAAATTATGAAATATATTCATAATATTATATTTTAAAGAAAGTATTTTGAGGGTAAAATATTGATGAGAGTATATATGAGTCAAGAAATTGATGAGAAGAAAAATTTGCAAACAATTGTAGTCAAAAGACCAAATTGAGTAAAATGCAAAGTTAAGGGACTAAATAAAAAAGAGAGTACATATTTAGTGAAAAAAATAAAAATTGAAGTTACATATGTACTCTATTGTAGTATATGAGCATGTGGTTTAAATTTGGTAAAAAAAAGAGACTTAAAATAAATCACAAATTGAAGGAATAAGGAGATTATGAAAAATTGAAGGACTAAATTGAAAAATAAAAAAAATTATCAAAAAGAGAAATTGAAAGTACATATGTATTCAACTATGGTTTAGGAGCATGTATCTCGAATTTGGCAAAAAACGACTTTAAATAAATGACGAATTAAAGAAATAAGAAGATTATGAAAAATTGTAGGACTAAATTGAAAAATAAAAATTTGTTATCAAAAAGATGAATTGAAAGTAAACATGTATTTTAATATGGTTTAGGAGCATGTGACTCAATTTTGGTAAAAAAAAAAAACTTAAAATAAACGACGAATTGAAGAAATAAGGAGATTATGAAAAATTAAATGACTAAATTAAAAAATAAAAAATTGTTATAAAAAAGAGGAATTGAAAGTAAACATGTATTCTGCTATGGTGTTTGAGCATTTGGTTTAAATTTGTTAAAAATAAACTTAAAATAAAGGAGAAATTGAAGAAATAACGAAATCATGGACTAAATCATAAAACTATCAAAATACTTAGTCAATTTTTTTATTTTTAGAATAAATCAAAATTTCAACTCGATTTGAACTCAAAAACTGAATTTATAATTCGATTTTACTCGAATAACTCCAAATTGAAAAAGAATTCGATATTTCGAGTCTAGTCGAGTTTTGCTCATCCTTACCTATTTTAGCGAAAAATATAACTTTAAATATTTATTTTGACCAAAAATATTTTAAATACTTAAATAAAAAATAAAACATACTTTAACTACTTATTTGTAATATAAACCTATTTTTAAATAAAATGTTATGATTTTTCTTGAAAATTTGCTACTGTTAAAATCTAGTTAATGGCTATATAGATATATTTTAAAAATAAATAAATAAACAACATGCTTATGATAATAAATATTAAAAATTAATTTATTCTCTTGAGTGCAATTTCAAACTCGCCCTAATATAAAAAATCCAAGAACCCTAAGAAGAAAGAAGGTAAAACCCAGTTTTCAATCAAATCGCGTTCTTCATCTTGGTTCGATTTGAAGACAAAAAGGCCTTTATATTCTTAAAATTTGCTGGGAAATTGAAAAATGGCAAAATCTTGCAAAGGTTTGGCCATGGAACTGGTAAAGTGTCTAAGTGAGTCAGATTGTGTTAAGGTATTCTTTTTTCCCTTTCTCATCTGCTCTGTCTTTTATTTTGGCCCATTTGATTTCCGGATTTAATGCCCTAACATGAAACCTTAGAATATTACTGAATATGCGAATTTGGGGATTAATTAGGTCGAGAAGCGTTCATTTAGGGAATGTGCTGGAGAAAAAAGCCCTTGTATTCCTAGCGAATGTGTTGGACTCAGAGAAACTTATTTCAACTGCAAAAGAGGACAGGCATGCTGATTCTTCTTCTTTCTTTGTCATGTCTGTCATATTACTGAAGATTTTTATCTTTTATCATTATGGTTTTGGGATTTTGATCATAGAGTTGATAACGGTGGATATTATAATTCTAATTGGTCTAGTGATCTTATTCGTCTCCAAACTTAATTATCGTATGTGTAAAACGCTTCTTGTAAATATTTTGTATGAATTTCAGCATTGTCTGAGTAAAATGCTTCTTGTAATATTTTTATGAATTGCCTGCTGCTGGTATCGATCATCGTTTTTTTAGTCTTCAAACTTAGTTAATGTGTGAGTAAAATGCTTCTTGTAAATATTTTTTGCTTGGTATGAATAAAAAGTTCAAATACCATTTGAATCCGAACCACTTTTGAACAAATTGAGGGAGACAAATTGTTGAGAGAAGGTTGGAAAAGTTATGTTCTTCCCTTTTGGATGCAACTTATTCAGTTGAAATAGTATTTTATTAGTAACAGTAAAATGAACAAAAATGCCATGTCTAAAGATTCCTCGTAAACGTGGTTAAGAGATGGGAAGATATTTGATCACAATAAGAATACACTAATTCTCATGTCTTGTGTAGATGGATCCTTGTTGCAGCATCTCTGTGCTGCACATTGTTATACTTGTTGAACAGTTTCATGATAAATAGAAAATGATATCATTTCAAAGGAGATTAACACAAGATTATACTTGTATTATTTTGTTGTTGAAACTGTATTCGTTAACACAAATACAAACTCTGTATTATAAATGCTAGGTATCTTGGTAACTAAGTAAAGGCAATCTCGACTATGTTTAGAATTAAAGACTATGATATACTACTAACGTATTATGCATCTTTTTTTTGGTTCCATTCCAGGTTGACATGAGAGCTAGGATCCGTGGAAACAAGGGCTACTAAGTGAATGGTCAACTCAAATTGTCCTTATGTCGTCTCTCCCTGAATTTTGTTTGATAATGACAAAAAACTGTTCGACGAATTTCCCATTTCCCTTCATTTTCTAGTTTAGTTACAGTGAGGTACATTACCTAACCATATTGGTATTTTAAAGCATCTGGCAGAATTAGTTAATTGGTTTGAACTCGTACATGGTATTTCTTAGCCGGATTTGGATAAATGTTTGAATATAGGCACGTTTTAATATGGCCACGCTTAATTGATTCCAAGTGTTGATTGTATGGGTAGACACTAATTTTCCACCATCATCTCAACCCACCTCCCCGAGAAGTCACCACTCACATCCCTGAATCGTCCGACGCAAGGAAAGCAAGCAAAACAAACAAACAAACACAATTTCAGTCCAAACGGGACTCTAAACCGAACCTAAAAATAGGTTCTTGAAGAACTATAAATAAATGAGAAACATGATGGGGAAAAAGGCAGAGGAAAGCACGGAGGAGAAACATAGCAAACAATACAGTTAGAAAAAATAAAAAATAAAACCAAAAAGGGGAGAAGAGAAAAAAATAATATCGAAGCCTTCACTTGTCTGGAGAGAGTACCGCGCTTCTTTCATCGGAAGAAGGATTTTCGAGCCTTTGAAGATAGCCAAGGTAAAATGAAGTTTGGGTTTCTTAACCTGTGGAGTATATCCAAACGTGGAAACAACAAAGATTAAAGGGAAGAGACCTACATGTCTTCATTAGGAGTTATTCGCATGTTAAGGGCTTTATCTTTTATAATCTTTACGATTTGTTACTAAATTTGATTCTTTTGAATGCTGGTTTGGATTTCAAATTTTATTATGTTTACATTTTAATCACCGCTTTGTATATGGTTTAATTATTATTTAGTCCTCCTAACCTTTTATTTCTTTGTTTTTTGCAGCTCATTTTATTTTCGATTTAATCCATTAACAGCGATTTGTTTCAATGTGATCCTCTAAGTTTTTAATTTCTTTTTATATTGTTTTTATTTTATTACTTTTACAATTTCACTTTTTTTCTTTAATTTATTAATACTTTTTTAATTTATTTTTTAAATTATTTTTACTTTATTTCATTTTTTTCTTCGATTTATTTGTTATTTATTTATATTTTTATCCATTTTTATTTTTTCCCTTTGATTTATTATTTTATTTTCTCTTATTTATTTATATATTTATATTTTATTTTTACGTTTTCCCTTTTGATTTATTTGATATATTTTTATTTTCTTTTCTTTTATTTTCCTCTTATTTTTTTCTTTCATTTATTATTTTCATTTCTATTTTATTTTTCTTTTTGGTTTGTTATTATTATTATTTATTTTTTTTCTTTGATTTATTTAATATTTATTTATTGTTTTTTTATCTAACATTTTTGACTTTTTTAGAAGAATTCCAACCAAATCAAAGGTAAGTAATTTGGATCAGGTTTTCTAAATTTTAATTTTAATTTTTAATTTTTCGCAATTAAGATAACCGAAAAATTAATTGGTACCGAAAGGGCAATTCAAGGGTGCTAATCCTTCCTTGACTGTAACCGACTCCCGAACCGGACACTTTTCTGGTAAAACATAGATCAGGTAAGATGGTGTCCGATCTACCTAAATATCATTTTAAAATGATCGGTGGCAACTCTAACCCATTCATTCAAGTCGAAGCCCAATTTCGGGCCCAACCGAAAGACGACTGCGACAGCTTGACGACTCTGTTGGGGACAAGTAAGTGAGTCAGGCCGAAATTAATTTTTGGTTGTTTTTTTAAGCGAAAATGGTAAATTTTAGTTTTAATTTATTTATTCGATTCCAATTATTTATCTTTGATTATTTTTCAAATAAATAGTTGTACTGACGTTTTTTTATGATTTTAGATTTTCAAAATTTTCATCTCAGGCTCTAAACCCGAGCTCCAAACCCGTTTTAAGTGGGGGTGAAAGTGTCGCATTCGTGAGAATTTATTCTCCGTGAGGGCCTAACAAGTAGCCTTTGGGATTCATATACCTTATGTCTTCATGAGAATTTATTCTCCGTGTGGGCATAAGGGAATGTATCCTCTCGAGTTTAACTTAGTCCACATAAGCTTGTAATGGGCTTAGGACTAAGGGTCTGGCAAGTCCAAGGGGGCACCAGCAAGGAGAACTCGGGCACCTTTTTAGAACTTAAACCGGGAGACTATAGGGAATTAGAGCCCAACCCAAAACCACATTTCAAACCCTAGGTTGTTTTGATTATTTCCTACTTTATTTTATGTTCAAAGCATGTGAATTAAAAATTTATGCGGTTAGGACTTGTTCAAAATCAACTACGGGATAGAGATCATGTCCGGGTAGGGATAATAAACATATTGAGCAGATATCATGTGGGGTAGGACTTTTATTATCATTTTGATTATCATCTTTATCTCACTAACTTTTTTCTTTTATTTTGTCTTCTTCTATTTTATTTTATTTTATCATTTACATCATCCAAAAGAGGTGTTGATCCAACAAAAACGTGTTCATTAAACATAAATAATTTGCATTAATGGACAAAGGGGTTATAATATAAGAAATGAAAAGCTCAGAAGTCCAGCTATGGTCAGAAAATACTCAGAATGGACTGGGATTTACACTATGCACACCAAAAGTCGACTTTTTGAGCTGGCAAAGGTTGCAGGGGCAAGACGAGAAAAAGATTATTGACCTGGAGAGTCTCTTCAAAGACAACAGGCCATTGTTGACAAATCCAAGAAACAAACAAGTGAGTTTCAGATTTTCCCTTCCAGAGGCACTTTCGTTGAGGGAACCGACTCAGCAGAGAGTGAAAACCAGAGATACAACCATTCGAGATTTCTTGGGACAAGTACAAAAAGCAGCTCAGAGAGGCCAGAACGGTTTGACAGGGTATTCAATAGGTAATAGAAGAAGGTGGAAGACGAGTTAACCTGTCAGAAGCTGTTCGGGTCTAGAAGACTTATTCAGAATATGCCTTTAAGGGTTTTTGTCTCTTAAGAAATAAAACTTTTGTCCCCAATAAGGATTATTTATGATAACAGATGCATTTTTGGATCAATGCCTCGAAACTTCATGCATCATGTATTCCAGCATATTTCGCACTATTTTTCTCTTTTTCATTACCGTCGCATGTCTCATAAAAAATGGGAACATTTTGATCCTATTCCCATGAGTTACAATGAACTTTACCAACAACTTTTGACACTCACGTAGTGTCACCATACCCGGTGAAACCCATTAAGCCCCCATGCCCTAGGTAGTATGATGAGACCGCTCATTGCGAATATCATAGCGGTGTCCCAGGGCACATTATTGAGAACTAATCCGCCTTCAAGAGAATCGTGCAGAAAATACGCAAAAAGAATTGGATCGATTTCAGCAACTCAGGGGTATCCAAATAAGGAAGAATATCATTTCATCATTTGCAGTATTTTGTTGAATTTATGCTACTTTAAAGATGGTGAGCAATGAATAAAATTTGTAGACTTGAAATTTCGTTGAATATCAAATGGATCAAAAACTTTGTAAATGATCGGAGTTACAAATCTTTGATAAAGTGGCATGATCAAATAATGACCCTTGGTTTTACCCCAAAAGACACACTCGAACACCATATCCTTCTTTTACAAGAACCGACATAGCCTTCTCCTTTCATAAGGGAATGAACAAGAGGCTTGGTATTCAGGTAAGTATAGGAGCGGACAACATGGGGCACTTTTGCACATGACATTACTATACTTTTTTTGAGGACGTTCAGTGATGATAATGATCTTCACAGATGGAATAGTCGAGTAGATGAATCTAGTTTAGGTCAGTTGTTTGGAAATTGAACTCTAAAGATGAGATTCCTTGACTTTCAACAACACTTAGACTATAACAAGTTCTTCTTGATAAACTTAAGAAGTTGAATCTGTATACCCAAATTATAATTATATATATATACAATAAAGCTTGAGCTCTCCCTCTAGAGCAATTGGTTAAACGGCCTGACTTATGGATAAGATTCAACTAGCTTGATAAAGGCGATTATAATATACAATAAAGCTTGAGTTGTCCCTCTAGAGCAATTGGTTAAATGCCCCGACTTTATGGATAATATTCAGCTAGCCTAATAAAGGTGATTATAATATTAAGTTGTCCCTCTAGAGCAATTGGTTAAACGCTCCGGCTTTATGGATCCAGCTAGCCAGACAATGTCAAATTAAATAAGGAGTTTCGGTAAAGATGGACTAAGGGAGTTAAGGAACACATGTTATAGTCAGTTTTACACGAGCACTCAAGAATTTCACTTTTAGATCGATATTTTTGCACTGCCTTTGTTAGAGGAGCCTACGAAGCTTGAACAAGTGAAAGATTTCAGAGGATTGAAATAGAAGGTATAGTAATTGATTATGCTAGTTGCGTCATTTTGTCCACATCTGATTAAAATGCCAAGCCGAAAAAAGGGGCACGTTGTGATAAATGACATTATGGTGGCCAAAATCTTAGAAAATAAGAGGCCAACCTAAAGCCAACTCATCCATTTGAATATTTGTTAAAGAGCTATAACTCTGCAATAATTAAAAGAGCTATTATTCCTTTGATATACTTTGAACTCATGTTTATGATTTGATTTGATTGCAAGCCTGAATTAAGGAGCAATGTTTTACAGAGTTCTTATATCTTTTTTCCTTCCTAAAATAAGAGAAAGGAGAAAAACATTTTCAAACAGGACATTCTCAAATGTGAAAGGCTGCAACCCGAGAAGAAAATGGGGCATGGTCGATTTCGAGTACAAGAATGACAGACAAAATGAGGCTCCATCCAGAAGATAAAACAGAGTCAATTCATGTTGCATGCATCTTAGGCATACATAAGAGCATCACATTTATCATTCTTTTTAGCATACATAATTTTTTGTAGCTTTTAGAGTCAAGTTTCAACTCCAAGACAAAAGATACTCGATTCAAAAGCACCTTCAACAAAGACCTTCGAGTTCGTTTCATTCAGCTCAAAGGCATATCAAATTTACAGCATAACTCAAGGCAAGAAGGGTTATCTGTCAACCAAGACCTTCGAGTTTGATTACATTCAACTCAAATGCATATCAAATTCATAACATAACTCAAGGCGAGAAGGGTTATCTACCAGCAAAAGACCTTCGAGTTCGATTACACT